CTTACCAGGGCAGGGCTGTCGCCATTGTTGCGATTCACGCATGAATACAAAAGAGTATGAAAGCCGAATCCACAGACGGACATAAATAGCGTGTGGCGGCCGTGGTTGGGGAGCTTGTCGTCGCAACAGCGCTTCTTACCAGGGCAGGGCTGTCGCCATTGTTGCGATTCACGCATGAATACAAAAGAGTATGAAAGCCGAATCCACAGACGGACATAAATAGCGTGTGGCGGCCGTGGTTGGGGAGCTTGTCGTCGCAACAGCTCTTCTTACCTTATGTATAAGGAGCGCTAATGTTTGCTGAAAATTTCGAATCGTGCTACAATCGTACAAACACTTGAAAATAACATGGGCAATCCTCCCCGAGTTTCTCGTATCATACAACTACTTGAAAATACTATAGCACGATACACAGGCCCGATTCTGAACCGTGCCGAAAAAGTGCCCGATTCGATGTACGATACAAATCCAAAAATTCACTCCCTATAAGACATCCATGGGACATCTAATTGCGCAGCTTCTTGACACCTGCACCGAATTTGCGTTGAAACAATGCGATGGGCAGGCAGCGGGGGCGTCATGCAAAAAAGATATTTTATGATCATCGCGCCATGTCTGGCAAGCGCGCGGGGGGGGGGGGGTTAGTGGCCGGGGGTCCCGTGTGTGCTATATACCACATGCCCACTTGCGGGCGCTACAGAGCGCCATGTGCTTCGATTTCGCTCGTTTTTTTTGCAGAAATGGGTGGGCATCGGTCGGACACAACTCTGGGCAGATTTCTAGGCCCATTGCGAGGAACGTCGTCGTGCACAGCAGTTTTTAGTGTACACACGCTGCTGTGAATCTTGAATCGGGCTTCAAAATTCAGCATCATTTTCGATTGCCTTCGTTTTGCCGCCAAAAAATCGGCATCGGTCAGCCGCATCTCTGTGCCAAGTTTCATGGCCAGCGGACGAAATGGTGAGGTTTTGTAAAGCGAAACGTCTTTACTTTACACCCGAAGCACTAAATCGACCTTTGATAATCAGCATCTTCAACTCTAGTTTTCGTACTCGGTAGGATTGACGGGGTGATCAGTCCGCATCTTCCTGCAAAAATTGAGCCTCATCCGACAATTTGGCGGCGAGATACGAACAGGTATGGAGGTTGCGCCGCACGTGCAATTGCAAAAACAGATGGTTTTTCGACCGAATGAGCCCCCGGGGTAAGGGTACGCCCACAAAAACTCAATATTTCACAAGGGGGGGGGTGGGGGTGAGAACAAAATATCAAACTGTGTGGGGAGGGGCGTACACGTCACCACCAGGCGGCGAGAAAAAAAGCGCGCGCGGGGGAGGGGGTGATAAATACCGTACGCTACAGCTTTCGCCCCGGATGAGCCCCATCGCCAGGGCTCGTTAACGACGCATTGAAAATAAAAAATTAAGCGCGTAGAGTCATCTGCTACGATATCCCAGTACATTGCGGACGATTTCGGGAGACGGGGGCGCGTCTCCCGGCTGAAACCACGTACACAGCAGCGGCGGGCGACTGGCTCACGGCAGCTGTGGGGGACATCGAGGGGGTACGTACACAGCGCACGGAAAACTTACCTCCGGCTTCCCAGATCTTCAGCACTTGCTCTCTGGTGTCTCCGCCCTCGATCGCGATGCCTCCGGTGATCTGGGGACACCGGGTTGACGAGTTATGAGCGTGGAAGACAAATGCGCGGGGGACAGCGGACGGGAAACGCGGTTGGTTCCGACGTCGCAATAGGTACCGTTTCGGACGAATATCAAAAATGTCGATAACTCCTCACAGAATAATCCTTTTGACCTCGGAGTTTTTGCATCAGGTCCGTAAAGTCTATACGCATTCGATGCTTGGACTCGGATGGCGGAGCAACTTGATTTGTTTTCAATAAAGATATCGAGATACAGTTTGAAGTGTACACACGCTGCTGTGAATCTTGAATCGGGCTTCAAAATTCAGCATCATTTTCGATTGCCTTCGTTTTGCCGCCAAAAAATCGGCATCGGTCAGCCGCATCTCTGTGCCAAGTTTCATGGCCAGCGGACGAAATGGTGAGGTTTTGTAAAGCGAAACGTCTTTACTTTACACCCGAAGCACTAAATCGACCTTTAATAATCAGCATCTTCAACTCTAGTTTTCGTACTCGGTAGGATTGACGGGGTGATCAGTCCGCATCTTCCTGCAAAAATTGAGCCTCATCCGACAATTTGGCGGCGAGATACGAACAGGTATGGAGGTTGCGCCGCACGTGCAATTGCAAAAACAGATGGTTTTTCGACCGAATGAGCCCCCGGGGTAAGGGTACGCCCACAAAAACTCAATATTTCACAAGGGGGGGGGTGGGGGTGAGAACAAAATATCAAACTGTGTGGGGAGGGGCGTACACGTCACCACCAGGCGGCGAGAAAAAAAGCGCGCGCGGGGGAGGGGGTGATAAATACCGTACGCTACAGCTTTCGCCCCGGATGAGCCCCATCGCCAGGGCTCGTTAACGACGCATTGAAAATAAAAAATTAAGCGCGTAGAGTCATCTGCTACGATATCCCAGTACATTGCGGACGATTTCGGGAGACGGGGGCGCGTCTCCCGGCTGAAACCACGTACACAGCAGCGGCGGGCGACTGGCTCACGGCAGCTGTGGGGGACATCGAGGGGGTACGTACACAGCGCACGGAAAACTTACCTCCGGCTTCCCAGATCTTCAGCACTTGCTCTCTGGTGTCTCCGCCCTCGATCGCGATGCCTCCGGTGATCTGGGGACACCGGGTTGACGAGTTATGAGCGTGGAAGACAAATGCGCGGGGGACAGCGGACGGGAAACGCGGTTGGTTCCGACGTCGCAATAGGTACCGTTTCGGACGAATATCAAAAATGTCGATAACTCCTCACAGAATAATCCTTTTGACCTCGGAGTTTTTGCATCAGGTCCGTAAAGTCTATACGCATTCGATGCTTGGACTCGGATGGCGGAGCAACTTGATTTGTTTTCAATAAAGATATCGAGATACAGTTTGAAGTGTACACACGCTGCTGTGAATCTTGAATCGGGCTTCAAAATTCAGCATCATTTTCGATTGCCTTCGTTTTGCCGCCAAAAAATCGGCATCGGTCAGCCGCATCTCTGTGCCAAGTTTCATGGCCAGCGGACGAAATGGTGAGGTTTTGTAAAGCGAAACGTCTTTACTTTACACCCGAAGCACTAAATCGACCTTTAATAATCAGCATCTTCAACTCTAGTTTTCGTACTCGGTAGGATTGACGGGGTGATCAGTCCGCATCTTCCTGCAAAAATTGAGCCTCATCCGACAATTTGGCGGCGAGATACGAACAGGTATGGAGGTTGCGCCGCACGTGCAATTGCAAAAACAGATGGTTTTTCGACCGAATGAGCCCCCGGGGTAAGGGTACGCCCACAAAAACTCAATATTTCACAAGAGGGGGGGTGGGGGTGAGAACAAAATATCAAACTGTGTGGGGAGGGGCGTACACGTCACCACCAGGCGGCGAGAAAAAAAGCGCGCGCGGGGGAGGGGGTGATAAATACCGTACGCTACAGCTTTCGCCCCGGATGAGCCCTTTCACCAGGGCTCGTTGACGACGCATTGAAAATAAAAAATTAAGCGCGTAGAGTCATCTGCTATGATATCCCAGTACATTGCGGACGATTTCGGGAGACGGGGGCGCGTCTCCCGGCTGAAACCACGTACACAGCAGCGGCGGGCGACTGGCTCACGGCAGCTATGGGGGACATCGATGGGGTACGTACACAGTTCACGGAAAACTTACCTCTGGCTTCCCAGATCTTCAGCACTTGCTCTTTGGTGTCTCCGCCCTCGATCGCGATGCCTCCGGTGATCTGGGGACACCGGGTTGACGAGTTATGAGCGTGGAAGACAAATGCGCGGGGGACAGCGGACGGGAAACGCGGTTGGTTCCGACGTCGCAGTAGGTACCGTTTCGGACGAATATCAAAAATGTCGATAACTCCTCACAGAATAGTCCTTTTGACCTCGGAGTTTTTGCATCAGGTCCGCAAAGTCTATACGCATTCGATGCTTGGACTCAGATGGCGGAGCAACTTGATTTGTTTTCAATAAAGAGCAAGATATCGATATCCTCCTGTTTTCGGGATGTTTCACTTGAGATATCTCTTGAATGCGACCGTTTTTGGACTTCGGACTTTTAGCGTTGCGTGAGCCTTGGTAGTGCATACCCCGTACTCAGTTGTTTTCAGCAATCACCTCGTCAAGAACTTCTTTCACTTTCTCAAACAACCAAAACGGCCTTCCCCAAATCATGTCCACGATTTCAACCAGGAGAGCGTCTTCTTCTACAATCCTTGTACAGGTTTCGCTCTGCACTACATGCCTAACCTCGGGCAAAAGGTTGGATAAATCATCACCAAGAGTGTACGTCGCCATAGGAACCCTAGTGTCAAATACAGGATCGTCATTTTGGTGTGTCATCGTGACAGGTATATAATGTGTCAAGGAATGAGGCGGCCCATGGCCGTGCCGACCGATGAAAAATTCTACGCCATCAACCAACCGCATATTTTGCTCAAATTTTTGCCCAAGGCCTTTTGCCAAGATGCCGCTGATGTACGATCGTTGCCATTGCGTCACCGGAGGATTGAGAACGTGTCCGTCAAAATGGTGGGTTATCTGCTTTTTCGCTCCCATCTGCGAATCTGTCGTAACGAGACCCCTCTTATTAACCTCGGATAAGTGTGGTCTTGCTTGCGCCATCGACGCGTCTTCTCCCGGGTATCCAACGCGCGCGGTCGTCAACATCGCGACGGCGCTCAGCTTCCCAAGCGCCTGTACTGGAGACAATTCCTCCGCGCCGTGGTCCCCGAAACAATCGTAGGTCTCCTGCCTTCGGATACGAGTGCTACTACGTCGCACAGGCGGAGGTTGGCGCACGCGCTGGCTCGGAGGCGTGCCTGGTGGCGTGGTTAGAGGAGACGACATTTGTCCATATTTCTTCATCAACATAAAAAAACGCAAAATAATAACTATGATTAACCCTGAAACAAAAATATAGATCAGTATAAAACAAGTATCGCCCTTTATCTGATAACATTCGGATTTATCCTGTCGTTTTGTGTCGCCCACTTAAAAATCGATTGCCGAGGTTTGGCGGGTGATTTCATGACTGCCCTGATGGCTTCCTCAATGATGTCTTCGTCTCTTTCAAAATACAGATTTTCGAGAATCGGCCTACCATTGAACAAAGTCTGCCTCCTAGCGAAACCGCTGAAGTCGGGAGCAAGCTCGTATTTCCTGATGTACATCTGTTTCATCATTTTCCCGACCGTTCCAGACATGTTTTGGGGAACCCTGATACCGATTTTGGAGGACACGACCACGATTCCCGTCTCTTTTCCCCGCTGATCAGCGCCAAGCTCGTGTGTTGGCGTGGTGCTGTCGTGTAGTAGCGGAGCGGCGATAGCCACCGCATTATTGACCATGACGTCTTGGCGGCTAAGGATCGTCACGTTATCACGTAACTCGATCAGGGTGCGTCCGTCGAGAAGGACACCGAGATCTTGCAGTGCACGGTAGCTCTGTACCATGTCATCGACCCTCTTTCTTTTGAGGGCGACTTTGCTCATCTCAAGGTTCAACTCAAGCATTTGCTTGGCGAACTGTGCGCGATCTTCCACAGGCAGGTACCTGAAGCCAGCCGGCATGCCATCGAAGGTTTCGACCGCCTCTTCTCGTTCACCTAGGAGGAATTCTTGAGTTGCGCGCCCCTGTTCGGTGCTCTGCAGGGTGGCGTGGCGGGCCTCGATCTCGGACACGAGGCTCAGGTCACCGCCGAGTAGACGACACACCTTCTCCGACGACTGGCGACGGAACTCGCGTGCTTTCTTGCCAGGCAGCAGCCACACGATTTCGATGAGCGTCTTGGCGTCGGCGACTGGTGTGAACTTTCCTTTTCCATTGATTCGGAGTTGGGTACATCGAGTACCTAACTCTTCGTTGGCTAAAATCAGTCGATTTAAGGAGGTATTTGCTGCACTCGAGTCTCCCCCAAGCACCATCCGTATGGTGTCTATCACGCTTCCCACCTGCTCATTTTTGTCTACGCGAATAGTGGCGCCATGCATGTTTTCAATGAGGTCCATGGTTGCTTCAGTTGAGGTTTTCAAAGATATTTTTCGGAGCCAGTTGAACGCGCCCGAGGGCTGACGTTGACACAAAACGATGAAACACAATTAACATCACATCAGGGTGTCATTTCTGTTCACCACCAACAATTGCAGCACCCCAGAATCTCGTGCTGCCATGGGGCGGATGCGAGCCCTTCTGGCCCGACGCTGGCGGTCACAGGACGCCAGTGGTCGTGGCCGGCGCTACAGCAAAATATAACACCTGTCGCTGCGTGAAGCGACACCCGTCGCTACCTAGAGCGCGGGTGTGAACCGTGCACTCAACAGACAGTGGTGGTGAGACGGGAAGGAACAATGCCCCCGAAACGCGCTCCGAAACGCTTGAGTCTAGTTGGGTACATCGAGATGCAACGTCAGATCCCAACTCTCGGGACGTCAGAAAAAGTCTCCTTGAGGCAGTGTTTGCTTTGCTTGAGTCGCAGCCAAGAGCAATTCTCATGGTTTCTATGGCGCTCCCCTTTTTCGCGTTGTTGTCAACGCGACCAACGGCCGATGCGAGCCCGTCTGGCCTGACTCTGGCGGGTACAGACGCCAGTGGTCGCGGCCGGCACCACAAAAAAGTAGGCGCACGAGACCAGATCGCGCCATGCTCCGATCGGCCTTGATCTGAGCTTGCCTCATCCCGGCCCGGCTCCGAGGACGACCTCGTGGTCAGCTTGCGCTCGCGCGGCCAGCGGTCAAAAGGATGGAACAAGTTTTTTCGTTTTATTGCTTACACGTCGAAGCACTACTCAGACGCAAATGTTCAAATGAATTTCACCACCCGCTTGAAAACCGGGTCCGGCAGTAGACATAAATCTAGACACAGAGCTTCTCCTCCATCAAGCGGCCCCTCGAGACTCATCTGTGCAAGCATCCTCACCCGCATCACAAGCACCCATCCGTGGCGGCGCCACTTCCTGTTCCTCACGGCTAGATCGAGAGCCTCTCTAATGCTTACTTTCATCGCATCAGACCCATTTCCCCCGTCAATCAACTGCCCGATGGTCTTCCCGTCGTGAGACAAAGCCTCTACATCAGCTCCGAAACCGACGAGAACAGAAATGCATGCATTCAGATCCGCCACATAGATTTCCTCTAGAAGCTTCCGCTGGCAGGCGATTAACAATGGCGTGAGCCCTAGACATTGATCGTCCACCCTCGCACCAAGACACAGCAAAGCCCGCGCGTTCTCGTGCATTCCATTCCGAACGGCATTCGCAAGAGGTGTAAATCCACCACGCCCCATCAGGTTTGAGTCCGCGCCGTTCTCTACCAGTAAACGAATGGTGGCAGGTGTCCCTTTCGAGGCAGCCTCGTTAAGGGGAAAATCCCAGCAGTACGATATATCATTAACGTCCACTCCGTCGATCAGTTTCTCAAGGATGACCACGTCACGCCAAGCACGATCAAGCCCTTCTTTCGGATCACTGCCGTACTTGAGAAGGAGGTCAATCGTGTCCAACGAGGACTTCTCGCGACTCCGGAAATACTCATCGATGGTGTCTGATAGAGCATAACAGTCACCACCCGTCGCGGTCGCGCCCCATTCGAGTAGCAATTGTACCATCTCAGGGCCCATGCCCTCACGACAGGCTATCTGCAAGGGGGTGCGACCGAGAGCCTTGGGGTCACCGTCGTGTCCTCTGAATGCGTCTACAGGTGCCCCGCCTTCCAGCAGCGTGCGCACCAGACGAACGTTTCCCGCCTCCACGGCAAATTGGATCATCTCCTTCTCAAAACCACCCCTGTGACAATACTTACAGTCTGCGCCTGCCTCTATCAACGCAAACGCTGCCTTGTCACTCCCGGGCTCTACGTAGACGCAGTATTGTACTGCGTAGAAGAGAGGGGAGTACACATACGGAAAACTCAGGTTGAGTTCGTGTTTGGCATCGGTTTGCAATAGAGCACGAATCACCTCATCGCACCCTCCTCTTGCGGCCGCCTGGAGCAGAGTACGATCCCGCTCACCACGATATCCCAACCCCCCGTCCTCTCCAAGTGCTGGTAAGAGACCCAACACGTCGGATTGTTCCCCCCTGGCTGCACCGTGTTCGATGAGCGGACGGACGACACCCTTAAATGCTTCATCGGGAAGGCAGTAGACCAGCGGTTGCGCGCGAGGGCCGTATTCGGCTGACAGATCCATCTTGTTACCTGTGGTTGGCCAACATCGCGAGATTATAGTTGGTAAATGGATTTGCGTACTTCGAGGCACGTGCGATGGGGATGAAAAACCTAACCCGACAAAATAAACACCTGGTTTGGTTTGTAGACTCTCTCTCTCTCTCTCTCTCTCTCTCTCTCTCTCTCTCTCTCTCTCTCTCTCTCAGGAGAGTGTCAAGAGCACGGCTGCGTCGCGAAAACAACATTATAAGGTACATTTACTTTGGTAGAGAGAGTAGCGTGGCTCTTCGGCGTCTACCGTCCTGAATCCTGCGGAGTCGTGCCGCTCTAGCGCGTTCCATATTTTCCACGTGAGTTTCCCAGACTCTGAGCGGGTGCAGGTCGGGGCCCACGGCTCGATTGCGAGACATTCCGACGTCCCGCACCCTGTCGGAAGCGGCTTCTAACGCAGCATTCATCGGACTGCCCTCCGTGAAGCTCGTGAAAAGTTCCAGGATCTCCCGCAAAAATACGGGCGCCCCGTGGTTTGACATGTGGTCGAACTTGTCGTCTTCACCTAGTCCAAATGTCCCGACACGGGACCTTTCTATACAAGGCGCCATGTACTTCATGTACTGAGCAAAGTACTCTATTGGTGTCTGTTTGTGAAAGGCCCAGGCGTACCGCCCTGCCGCAAGATTTAACTCGTGTGTGCGGGGTAATTGAGCAACAACGTCATCATATGCAGGAGTGTTAACCCACGACTTTTCTGCATCGAGGTCTGTCAGAATGATGTAGGTGAGCCTAAGCACGTCCTGCGCGCACTTTCCGACAGCGTGGTACTTGTCGGCGAGCCAAGTCGCGTGTCTGCTCAGGCGCGCCCTTTCGATGCCCGACGTCATGTTTTGGAAAAACAGTTCCTTCTTGGGTGGCACAAACAGGCCGCCGATGTGTTCCATGGGCTCGCATCTTCCATCACTGAGCCAGTCTTCCACCGGAAATATGAGCTCAAACACGTGATCTACCCCGACCACGCTCCCGAGCTTCGCTCTGACTTCCACCTGAACCTTCAATAGATCGACCTCATCAACAATCACCAGGAGGAAATGGTCGCCGACAACCTCTTCGTGCAAAACTCCCGGTCTGCGCGAGGAAGACACAGGTGCATGTAACACATCTACCCTGTCGGGGAAGGGGTTGTCGTTGATGTGCCTGTCGTAGCGAAGAGGGGGATCGGACCTTAACAGGCGTCTGCGCACGATGGTACATATTTTTTTGAGGACGTGTGCGAGAACGCCCGGTTCGTCGAGAGGGTTTGGGGCCTGTGTTTCGAATAGCTGGTCTATGGAGATTCGCTCAAACGGCTGTGCGCACCGTCCCTTCCCGTCTTTCCCACCGACGAGTTTCACCGATCCTCTGACGTCTACGTCGTGCAGACCGGGAAGGATGTGAGCGAAGCGGGATTTATCATTCATGGCGTGTACCTGGTACGCACAGCCACCGAAAATGTTGAAGCACGCTTCGAGTTGGTAGCTCTGTATATTGTGTTGAAAATCACTGTCCGGGTCTCCAAGCAAACACCTGCCGGTGTACCCGAAATTTTTCATCTCCAGGGTCAGGTCCCTGGCAACGTTCATCATGACGTCACCGAGCCCGCCGACCACGCGCAGATCCATGATGGCCGACACGATGGTCTTTTTGGTGTCGCCCCGGAAAATGGTGGTTTCGATTCTCTCGGGGACGGCCGGCATGTTCCCTCTTGATTCATAAAGCTAGCACAACATTATAAGACTTCGAACTCACTGATTTTTAGTTTCACGTTATCGCTAACCCGACAAAATAAACAGGAAGGCGCAAGGGGCAGGTGGAGGGTGTGACCCTCCCCGTCAGATCCGGTCGCACCCCAGGACACCGCCGCGGGTTCCCTCCCACTCCGGTCGCCCGACGATCCGTCCTCACGACCCGGAGCGTGTGCCGCGCTGAGCGAGGCCTGCTGTAGCGAAGACGCCACGTGATTTGGTAATAAATACGTATTTACAGTCATGTCGAATAAGAAAAAGTGCCGCTGTTTTTCGCGTCGTGTCGTTCGACCCCGCCGTCGCTAATTCACTAACCTACACCAAGTTGTACTGAAAACGAACACGCTCCACTTCCGTCATACTGTCCCACTTCGACTTCTTCTCCGCTTTCGCGCGTGCCACACACTCCTTCCCGGGTATATTCCCGGGTTCCTTCACATCCTCCCAAGGCCTCTTCATGCCTTGGTTTCGTGCGACGTCGTCACGCGCTGGAGCACCACGGCTTCATACGATGACGGTCACGCGCTTGAGCATCACGGCTTCGTGCGATGACGGTCACGCGCTGGAGCACCACGGCTTCATGCGATGACGGTCACGCGCTTGAGCACCACGGTAATGAGGAACTCTCACCCGTTCAGAAGAAAAAATTTCAAAAAAAAATACGGAGAACAAAAATCAAATTTCAAATCGCGCGCGCGGATTTTCTCAAACAGAATGTAGTTATTGGTATTTAGATGCTACCGAGTCATCGCATCGCCCTCCTACAACTTGTGAATCTCGTGGTGGCCTCAAATTTCGATCACACTTAAATACTTACTGTCATGTGTGGCTGATTCATTCACCAACTTTTTACAGAGGGATAGATCACTCAGCCACGTCCTTCACATGCTTGTTCATACTTAGAACCAGTAAGATTCGACTATATACTAGTCTGTTGCGCTCCTTCTATCACACAGGTGAAGGGGGGGGGGGGATAATATCGCTCGCCGAGGCGACGTCGTCACGCGCTGGAGCAC